AAAAAAAAAAAAAAGCTAGAGAAAAAAGCACCTGGAGATTTACAATTACAATCTTTCCACCACCCTTGAGACATTTTAGAGGCAAATTGCATGCAGGGGTAATTTGCAAACTGCAACAGAACAGCAGTCTTAAAAAATGTTTAACTTTGAAAGCTACAATCTGAAAACAGAGCCGATTAAATTTGAAAAACGGAGGAAATTATCAGATGGAAATTTCTTTTCAAATATAATATTATTTCATGCAATTTCAGGGATTTCGACCCTAGTCACTCCATCTAATATTTGTTAACTCTCAGCCTAGAATGAAGATCCTCGCGTTATGACAAGGTATCCGTTAAAAGCACCTTGACAATCATATTACCAGAATTATATGACTTCTTCGTAGCTCTACAAACCAAATGGCTGGATACCATCAATAATAACATGAAAATGACTGTTTAATTGCCAAAAGAGCTATAAAAGGACACATTTATTCTTATGTCTTTGCCATTACCTTGTTCCTAAGCATAATACAACATCAGCCATTTTGCAGTGCTTTTCTGCTGGATTCATTTCCTTAGGTGGCAAAGCATCCTTTGAGGAAAGAAAAAAAAAAAAAAAAAAAAAAAAAAAAAAAAAAGATCATCAGCGATAGGAATCAAACACATTTGACTGCAGACTCTACATTAAGTGAAAGCATTATAAATATGTTTGTCCGACTACAGACATCGATCTGGTCTGGTACTTTTTTATATCACTGGTAAAGTACAAGTACAATACAATGCACGTGGTGTTGATTTTTTTGCTGATTAATTTTGCAGGAATGAAAAAAATTAGTTTATTAAATGTCAATGAGGGAATGAAATTAAAAGAAGAAAAAAGTGAGTTACTAATGCAAGTGAAAAACTGAAAATAGAGTTCATTGATCAATGAGGGAATGAAATTAAATGTCAATGATATCTTTGAATAAATGTATTTTATCTAATTGAAACTATTGTTATATTGATCAATGAGGGAATGAAATTAAATGTCAATGATATCTTTGAATAAATGTATTTTATCTAATTGAAACTATTGTTATAGAGTTCATTGATTAAATATTTGTAAAGTTGATGTATCCATTTGATGTCTTTCATTACATTTTATTTTATTAAAAGTACGATAAATGATTAAACATAGCTACACAGGTTAGCATATCTATAATTATTTCATCAAACTGCATTTCTACTATATTATACTACCTTTATCAGTTTTGCACACAAACCAAACTTTTAGGTATGAATGGCTATTGAAATAGAAATTGCAGAACTCATCTTCATAATTAGTCATTCACTTACTACCTTACATGTTTTTACACCAACAAATTGTGAGAAATAAATATATAAATGTAAATTATAATTCAATTTTCTTTTATTTTAGAAAACAAATTAATCATATTTTGCTTAGAAATATAAAATATTTTAATAAGAATAAAAATTTATGACAAAAAAGTTTCTTATTATGAATATCTACTCATTTATAAGGTTTATTTTTTATTTTTTAAATTAAATCACTATAATCTAATGTCTAGATACAAAAATATAATACTTAGGAAATTTCATCTAATTAGAGAAATCAATCTTAATTGAATGTAAGATTAAAATAATATACTATGAGAGCCCTATTACATTGCACCTAATTACTAAAACTAATCTTAACTACATGTTACATTATTTTATAAAATAATGTTAGTCCCTTAATATTTTATATTTATTTTATATGTGATACTTAATTATTATCATATTTTTTCTTATTAAAAATATAAGTATGAGGACTTTTTATTCCATGCAATTTTTTACAAATCACTTCACATTTTACACAAAATTAATGTTAACTACATGTTAAATTATTCTCAATTAAAATAGTTAATATATTATATTTCTTTTATATTCAATGTTTAACTATGATTATGATTTTTTAATTAAAAATATTCAAACATAAAGATTTTTTAGTTCGTGCAATCTATATGTACATTAATATAGAAAATCATTATAAATTTAAATTCTTAATAGTAATAGATAAGATGGATGATGTTCATTTATCTTTCTACAAGAAACTTTATGTATTAAAACTCTTAATTGCGACACAGACGAAAACTTGTAAGACTTACACGTCTTATATTATAATAATTTTTCTAACTTATATCACATCATTACTTTATTGATAAATTTACTTAATTTATAAATTTTTTTCTAGATAATATTAACAAATTTAATAGATCATGATTATAATATGCATATATAATTATATATATATATATATATATATATATCATAAAAGAAACTTTATGCATTAAAACTCTAAATTTTGACACGAACACAAAGACGTGGATTTACTCGTGTCGTATTATTATAATTTTTTCTAACTTATACATATAATTACTTCATAATAAATTTATTATAAATATAAATATAATTATTTATTTAAGAAATGGCAGTCAAATTAAGTTCTCAATTTGAACTATTTTGTAATCAAGAATCAAATCTTACTTATGTGGTTCATCTTTTTTTTTTCTCTACGCGTTATATGTAAATATATAATTAAATAAAGTTAGTCTTTACTTTTTAAAAATATGGTTAGTTTTTATTTTTTAAGATATCTGAATTTCTTATATATTAGATTACTTAAATATTAACTTGGAAAAAACCTACTACATCGGTTTTTGAATTGATTACAATTTGGCCATTAAAAATATATCTATATATTCTTCTTTCTTTTACAAAATCACTCCTCCTTAGGTAAGTTGGTAGGTAGATAGATTTACAAAATGAACGGATAAGTCTGTTCATTTATTTAATTATGATTACTGGTGCTCATAAAAAATACAACTACATCTTATTGTTAAAAAGATGTTGCTCGGTTAGTATCAATACTTATCTACCACTTGCAATCTTGTGATTTCATAGAATAGAGATAGACAATAGTTGATCCTAAGATTCTAAGCAATGAAAAGTTAGGGACACCCACATATGTGTGAGCATGTCTTGCATAAGTTTAACGAAGCCAAATGATCAGTCTTTTGTTTTCTTGTATTTCCATTTTCATAAATCAAGGTATTTGGTTACTAAGAAAGATTTCCTCAGTAATTCTTTTGTGCATCTGAGCCATACTGAAAGATGAGAGGAATCATAAAAAAATCTCTTTAACGTTGACAAGAGAAAGGAAATGAAGAATAAAAGTTCCAAGTGAATAAACCAATACCTCCCAGTCAAGAACAGTGTCCCTTAATTTCCCTCCACAACCTGCCTTGCAACAACGGCGCGTAGTCTCCCTCAATCCAATGGTCTCAATTTCGAAGTCCCTTAAGTATCTTCGCAGCAGAGATAGCTATTAAGATCAAGCATGACCAAATTCCATGGATAACATTCTAAGTGCACTGAATCAGCACCTATAATAACTCTAAATAATGATGGTTACAATTAATAGATACGTTGGAAATACATACTCAGCTCCACAGGATGAGCATTGTTCCATGAAGGAGTTTCCATGTAATTCAGAAAGTTTTCCCCTTGGCATTCCAGACCGAAGATGGAGGCCATCGACATTCTAGCATACATGCAGCCAATATTTAACAGAATTCAGAACCTCTAGAGATTCAAGCAACGATTTCAAACACATAATTCACATATTATATTTTTATATAAAAATAATGTTCTCTGAGCAGCCAGGGGTAACATTAGTAAAATAATTCCTATTCATAATGTGCTATGTACGATAAGGGCAAAGATAAAAGAAATTGAACTGATTGCTCTACTCTATGTGAAGACATTCAATCAATATTTTTGTTGATAGGAGGCCAATAGTAATGCCCCACCTGGCTGATCAGGAACTTGAGGATACCAGCCTTCTCAAGTTCAACCAACGCCATATGGGTTGTGCTTGGTGTGGCACGATGGAAAGGCAAAGATGCCTCTGGTAAAGCTTTGCCTTGACGCTGAGGATCAGTGAAAAAAAGGACATCAACACATGACACTGTCGTTTTCTTTCAGTTGATCAAGTTTCCAGGAAAATGCAAAAGTTCGTATACAGAAACCCATACTAACAAAAACGTGAACATAAATAAAATTAGAACAAATTACAATGCCATGAATAAACTATTCTCCACGCACACTTGTTCTTTCATTTGTTCTCTCATTCAAAGGTGGTATAGTAATTAAAAGACAAACTTTTACCATGAGCAGCATGTAATTCTACCAAAAACCAATTTTCCAAAATCTGGTTATGATAATTTACAAAATTTTACTGTATAATGCATGCCATGTCGAGAATTATGCAATTTGGAAATATTCATATCCTAAAGAAAAAAATGACAATAGTATCCTTACAAAAATAATCCAACTTGCAAACAAGACAGACCTTTCAGGTAACTAGGTAACAAATAGGAGTTCCAATCTTAAATAAAGAAAACATGCATAAATGTGCATGGAATGGTCGAGGCCTTGGGTTAAAACATGACCAGAAACGCCAATAAGTAAAAAGAAGAGTCTACTCCAGTGAAAATTTTGGATTCATTACTTGAAGCG